AGGGCTAAACCTATAGTGGTGCATGTAGATAACCTTAAACCGTATCAGGGTAATGTCACACCTGAAGCTTGGGTAGAGATAGAGAATCCCCCAGGAACAGACTCTGGTAGCTTATCTGGTGAGGAATACCCCTCAGTTACCCCTCCCTTACAACCAAGCAGTAGTCCAGGGGAGATAACTCCTAAATTCACAAGGACGGGTAGAAGGATAGTTCCCCCAAGGATATATAGCCCTTAGCTTGGGAAGGTATGATATTGGAGGTGAGAAAAAAAAAAAAAAAAAAGAAAAAAGTGTCACATTTTTCTTTATCTTCTGGTTTGGTCGCAAGCATTTTACAATGCTGGCCATGGTAAAAGCAAGAATTTCAAAGCAGTCTGGGGGAAAAAAAAGCATCATGGGCATGCTGACACTATACGTTTCGTAATCAGACAGATACAACCACTATGTCAGACTTTCTGGACATCGGGGTTGAGGAGGCAGAGATGGCCATTTTGGATGGTGATCTCGAGGTCAGACCTGTGTGGGCCAATGAGGGGATGGGGTGCCCTGTTGCCGCATGTGGGGATAGAATTTATCATCGCTATAACCAGCTAGCGAGACACTGGGCCTTAACCCATCTGAGGCACACCGACCTTTTCCACTGCCCCTTGTGCTCCTTCACGAACACAAAGAGGAATCAGATCAGGAGGCATCTGATCAATAGGCACCACAGGACACCTGCAGAGGCCATGTCTCTGTTTGGCCAGCACCAGGCGGGAGTGACCCAGGAGAACTCCCGGTATGTCAGCCCTGGTTCCCAGCGTATGCCACGTCGGGGAGTCACTTCTACCCAGGAAGATAGGAGGAGGGCAGCACAGGAAGCCAGGGAGGCATTAGTCAGTGCCACCGCTCCGTCCGAGTGCCCTGGAGCCAGGCACATCACGGTAGCCAGGGATCAGGAGGTGACGGAGGGAGGAATTCTACGTGACAGCCATCGTTGGCACAGGAACAGAAGTGCCGGAAATCCTTACCGGCCAGGACCAGACGTGGATTTTTCTATTTTTGAGGAGGATTAGAGACAGTGCTGTGTTGTTCAAATGAACCTTTTTTTTCAATTATACTTTGGTTTAGAGGGGGGTGGACTTATTATCACTTCTTAATTGTATATATTCATTGTAAATTTTTCCATGTACATGTATTTTTGTTTTTTTTCCCATTTATATTGATTTAAGGAGTCCATGTCTGTGCATGTCATCGATTACAGATTGTATTCTTGAGCTGGGGAGTGCTGAATATTTTGTTCGGAATCAGGTGATTTCGGATAGGTGTTGTTTCTCATGAGGTGTTACTTTAGTGTAAGCAGCCTAATACTTAAGTATTTGGGGCTGAACACAGTTCACCTGCTGTGTTTAACATCACATGTGATTCAATGTCAGGGTAGATCCGATGAGTATTCCTTTAAATGTTCACATATAGGTTTTTAGGCCTAGGGTATTGTGGGGCATTCTGGTTCCTGGATACAGATCTGAAAATGATAACATAACATTGCATTGGTTTTGCTATAATTTTGAAATTTGAGGTTTATTTCAGGTTGAATTGTAACCTTTTATTGGTTTGTAACTGTTTTTTTGTTTTTCTAATTGTTGGTTTGTAACCATTGCATATCATAAGATGATTGGTAATTGTCCTTTTTAACACCTAGTCATCTTGTTGGGGTTGTTATTAAATACTTTTGAATATAGATGTAAAGGCCTTGGTTTATCATGGACGCATGGTTTAAAACTTTGTCACCTTTTCGATTTGTGTTCTTATTCATTACACCATTGTTCAATCTCGATGTTTGTTTTAGTCCAAATGAGGACATTTGTCTTTTTAAGGGAGAGCGAGTGTAAAAGTAGTGAGTTCATTGTACTTAAGTCCTGTTAAATCATTGTGTCTGTCATGTGTTGTCAGAGTTCTGTTACGTCGCCGCCATGTTTGTTTACTAGGGATATTCCAGTTTGGGTTAATTGGTTAATATTTTAGGCACTTGTCACCACACCTGTACATTACTATACCTACTCAGGTGACAGGTCTCACGTGTAATTCGTGGCATATTATTAAATTTAGCTATATAGCAGAGTGTTCGGGTGGTATTAGTCAGTCTGGCAGTAGCTTTCATGTAGCTGGTCAGCTCTCTTTCTCCCTAGAAAGGTATGTACTCTTTCGGCCTTAGACCTCTAAATTACTCTGGGTTGGGTGGTATTTTCCCCTAGTAGGCAGTTTTTAGTGGTTTATAACACTATGTATGATATATGACAGTATTTTATACCTCGGGTTGGATGGTATTTTCCCTTAGCAGGCAGTTGCTAAAAGTTATTATTATGTTCTGTTAGGGTTTACGGTAGTGTTACATATGCCAGGGTTGGGCAACTGGGTGGCAGTTGTTTTATGATAGTAAGAATTTACTGGTAGTGTAACCAAGTAAAGTCATAGCCGTCGTCGGAGCCGGTGTATCTTGTTCATCATTGTAAATATCTCCATGTTTATTTGTCTGTTGTAACTAATAAACTCGGTTAACTTTTATTCCTGTCTTGAGTTATTGGTCTGTAGCCATGGAATAATAAGACAGAACCACAGAGAAGATGAACTAGAAAATATTCCACTATACGATCACTCTGTCAGAAGTACCTGTGTACTGTGACGAATTTAATACTTTTACACTTGCAATAAACGTATTCAATCTGCTGGTATAACTAGCTTTACATTTCAATATCTTATGTAAGGAATCCGACGGATTCTTTCCTATGACATGTGGTCAGTATTTTTTCAGGGAAGTTCGTGGTTACTAGAAATAAGCGGCATAAGGCTGGTAATGCTCACAACTGTCATCCAACATAATTATCTGGCACTCATGTTTTTACATGGCGTGTGTTAACATCGCTCCTGTAAAATTCTTATATTTTACCATTGTCTGTGATACCCTATAAGCTGTATTTGACATGTGTAGTTAGGAAGGTATTGCTATTCACATACCTACATTATTTGTGCCACCTATACTGGGAAAAGTGACTTTGGAGCGTTTCTGATATGACCATAGAGTAGCACTACAGGTAGTGACCACCACTCACGACCACATTTGATTGTACACCTATAGCTATACACTTGGGACACTTCGCCAGTGTTTTATATCGACACACGGAGAATTTGTATACCTATTCATATTCTTTCACTATTAGACTTTTGACAATATGGGGCCCAAGAAGTCTGCGCCGATGTCCATATCTGACAAACTGGAAGAATTGTCACAGAAACTGGAGAACTCTGTTACGAAGGAGTATATTGATATGGTCGTCGGGAAGTTGAAAGAAGATTTGCAGATCGAGATTTGCAAAGAAAACGAAGAGCTTGTGAATTCCCTAAAGTGAAGGATAAGCACTTTAGAGTCTGAGAATGAAGTATTGATGACGAAGGTCAGTGTATTAGAACAAAGAGAGACCGACTCTTAAGCTTTGATAAACGACCTTGAGAACCAGCTCAATGACCTTGAGCAGCATGGCTGGAAGAATTCTGTAAGGATAACCGGTCTGCCTGACCCGTCAGTGAAGGAATCAGTGGAAGAATGTGTTAAGAAAGTGGTTGACTTTTCTAACACACAGTTGAAAGTTCCCCTACGGACGGAGGACATGGACATCGCCCACCGATTGGGAAGATTCGACAACGCCAGGAAAAGAACTGTTATTGTCGGGAAAAACACGACATCATCAGGGTTCGGAAGATACTGAAAGGATCAGGTCTCACAGTTTCGGAGGACTTGACGAAGGCCAACTAACAGAGACTGTCGGAAGCCCAAGATGTAATAAACATAGATGAGTTAAAAGTTTGCCAAAAGGATTTAGAAGCTATAAGAAAGCATAATCTTAAAGGAATATTTTAAGGTCAAAAACCCACAAGATATTTTTTTTCAATCTGGAAAACAGGAACTTTGTTACTAAAATCATACCAGTTATAGAAAAAGATAATATAGAAATATTTAGAAATCTAGGGAAAATCTTAAATGAAGTAAAACAATTTTTTGAAAAAACTGTATTCAGAAGACTATGAATTACATAACATTAACTGGAATGACAATCTTAGTAACAGTAATATAGAAAAGTTTAATTTTATAGAAAAAAAAATCTGACACTCATTTCCCCAACAACTTTATTTTTTAGCATATTTACAACGGCCGCCGTTGTGTAGATGTCTCTAGACCGCGGCTGGTAATCTATCATTGTTGCCAATAAGAGACAAGTGGGTAATTTTTGTAATTTACATATTGATGAATTACCGACGAATGCATTTCTTTTTTCCAATGCACCGTATCTATCTTACTAGAAGGCGCGTCGTCACAAAAGAAAAATCCATAGTAAAACAGGTAACAAATCTATGTTTCTAATAATTAGAAACCATTCCTCTACTTGAATACCTTCGTCATAAAACATTTTTTGAAAGTCAGCTTTGATAGGTGTAAACACGTTCCGTATATTGACAAAAACGCACGCCTAAAGCAAATAATTCACTTAATACGAGAACGCACTCGCGATTCATATATTGTTGTATGGATCACTGAATTGTAAACGATAAAATGACCCCTTGAAAGGAAATCCAATCCCGACCGACTTAGATGTGGATATTCGATAGCGATGTGTCGTTGTAATTTACTGACTTATTAATGAGACCACCGTAAACAATCAATAAATTGATGTTTTCTGACATTCTTTTATGTTATTACATGGCATACAAATCGTGTTCTTTATTTAACCTTTTCAGTATAGTTCCATGATTCTCTCTACCTGTAAATGCATTGCTTGTGATTGATCTATATATTAATCCTTATCAATGTACCAGTTTGTTGCCCCAGTAGGTTAATATATAGAACCGGTTCCCAACAACAACGTTAAAAATAGACTGAGGGTCGACAACCATGTTTTAAAGTATTGAACAGTGAGATGTAGTCGGAACAACGGCAGTGTACCTATCCAGATATTAAAGTAGACGTGATGAGGAAATTCAGGTAAGATCTTTTTTTATTTTTTAAAAATAAGTTTTCCTCTTTGAAACATATTTTAAACAATCGTTGTGAAGACCGTGTCTTTATTGAGGAACAATGAATCCCTTCCTGTTGGAATGACAAGGAGTTAGAGAGCAAATGACGATCATCGATCGTTACTTGTGTTGTCATCTTAGTAAAGATATAATGAAGGCGTGTCCTCTATATTTGACAACTTCATATTGACACATAGAAACACACATTGAGTCCCTACATATCGACATGGAATATAACGCAACCTCGATACATAATCACATCGTATTAGTGCATTCAACGTTTCATGGTCGTCAAAGCGTTCGAACAGAATTATTATTATGACATTCGTATCTGCTCGTCAACACATACCAGGTCAAGGCCATCAAACGTTGAAACACACAGCGATCCAATAAATAGTGGACAGGTCAATGTAGTACAATAACAATGTTTAACGGTGAATGGTTTATCACACCGACGATTATATTCGCCTTTCAACATATACGAATGCGTAAGGTATGTATGGCCCATCCGAAGACGGGCAAGAACATCGACTCGGTGGTTGACTCTTTAGCATGGAGACCATTCATCGAAGAAAGGTTTTACGGAGTGCAATTAATTTTTGATTCTATCTGAGCTGTTAAAATTGTTTGATAAATGGTTTAAAATCAGTCAAATTGATTTTATAAAACAACAGGTGTAAGCAGTTAAGTATGATATGTTCAGTATTAGTTTTATTTCAAACCAGCGAATAAGTTAAAGTCAAAATGTTTTAGTCGCTATTTTATATCCTCACAATAGCACATCAGAAAGGATACTTTGTCTACATGTTAAACTAGCAATTTCAATTTGTACTCGCGTTACACAGAATCGGGAAAAGATATCTGTTACAGTGTTGTTGGAAATATATGTTCTGTAATAAGTTTAATTTCAAACATGCCTCCTATAGGTTTCTGTCAAAATGACTTTTTTGATTGCTATCATATATCCTCACAATATTACATCAGAAATGATACTTTGAACATATGTACACGGAATCGGGAAAATTAATGTGTTAAAGTGTAGTTTGAAATATGGAGGATGCAAAATAATTTGAAATTTATGATTTGATAAACAATACACGTTCACATTGATGAATAACTAAAATCATCAATGATTAGAAGGAAATGATTTTGGATAAAAGTGACTTATTGCGATCGTTCATGCGTTAACATTGTTCTTGTGAACACAGTAACTTGAATAAATATGCACGGATTTTAAGGAAACTTGATATGCAGTCTTTTTCAATTAGATCTCGAATAAGCTTAATAATGGGACTGATTTGATTGATACATACAACGAAATATCCCTTTGCAGTGTTGTTGCCATTGTCCTTGTGAACATGATAAAATAAAAAAAAATATCAATAGAAAGTACGGTAACTAGCTATTCAGCCTTATATCATTAAGATCTCTGATAAGTTTGACAATGAAATAGACACAATTATAACGTACAGAGTTATGACCTTTGCAGGTTTTCTACCATTGAACGTTGTGAAACAAAAACAAAAAATCGGTAAATATGAACAGATTGTGATGAAACTTGGTATGTAGCCTAATATAATTTAGATATATGGTTCGGTAGAGAATACGACCAATACGATTGTAGCTTACTGAGTTATGACCCTTTTCGGTTTTGTGTTTTTGTTTGTTTTCATTTTTTGTTTTTATGGACAAGCTAACGTGAGAGAATATGAATGGACTTTAAACTGGTAAACAGCCTATATCGATCAGAGCTCAGAAGAGTTGAAAACGGAACTGATTCAAGTGCAACGTACACAGATATGTTACGTTGCACTTTGTATTACTATTGAACCTTTGAACACGATAACTTAAATAAATATTAACAAATTTGAATGAAACTTGGTGTGCAGTCTTATGTCATTTAGATTTCAAAGGAGGTAAATATTGCGACCAATTGATCGTCTGCAGCCTTATATAACTTTCAGACATCAGTTTGACATGTTACAAAGTTATAGCATTGGAAATTGTAAACACACATTAGCAAATTGAAATGTATTTTTCTGCAACTTTAGTAAATATGACAGGTTTTTGATGATACGATATCAGGAGATTTCGACAATAGGACCGATGAAATTGTAACTAACAGCTATGACAGGGTTATTACAATTTGACCTTGTGAACAGGATCATTTGAGTTAACATGAACTGATTCTGATAAAACATTATTACATTCTTAACGGCCCGTCAACACATAAAAGGTCATTAGGGCCATCAAACAGTAAAACACACAGCGATTCAAAAGGAAATAACATTAAACAAATGGTAAAAGACAAATGTTAAAAATCTTAAATGGGTATGTTAACACAAAAGATTTAAATAGTACGTTATAGTCTTTTACATAGACCAATATCTCTCAGGCAATGTAGAATTTTACGAATGTCTACAGTTTCAAAAAGGGATTTTAGACGTAATGTTACGATAAAAACATTCTCGGGTAGACAGAAGGTCACTGCAGTCCAATCAAAAATGCTTAACGGTGAATGGCTCATCACATCCTATGCACCAAGGGTTGTCTTCGCCTTTCAACATATATGAATGTGTAAGGTATTATGACCCATCCAAAGACGGGCAAGGAAAACTTCGTCGCGGTGGTTGTCTTTATAGTCTGGAGACCATTCACCGATAACAAGTTATCTTTGAGATTGGTCAGGTGACTGTTTAGACATATTGGCCCCCTGTTATATCAATTAAACGATAGTATTTTCCCAATATGATTTAAAATTCATTCTGATATCAATTTTTTTGACAGTGATGCTAAAGAAATGAAGTTTGTAGGTATCATATGTTTCGGCATGCACAAATGTTCTCTCTACGTCATAGTCAGCACTCTAAAAACAAGTATCTTGACAAAATTTCAAGACGCTTGATACATGGATTATTAAACGTGGCAAAGTTTCTAACAGTGTAGCGTTTTGAAACTGACGTTCTCTTATTTATAGAGTCAATTTCACCTAAATTACTTTTATTAGTTTATTTCTCAGCGGAATTTTACGAAACGTCATACAAGAGTTAACTGTTGCAATGTCTCAGACAACTTCTCTTATTTCCAAACTTATTGATCATATTTTATTTCACTCGACAGAATATCACATAATTTCATATCAGAGCTTACCGTTGCAATATCGAGGTCAAGTTTGCGTTTCATGGCCTGTTAACTCCCATATTATCAGAGTTGTTATCTTAAGTTAATTTCACTCATTTTTATGTCAGTGCTTTCATAAGGATTTTTCTTTACTGAATTTCGTTCATGAATACTTTTTCATTTTCTAACATTCATTTTCAGCTCTCTCAAGAATGCATTTCTCGATGGAAATCTCAAATCTTCAAAAAAGGATTAATCATTGCAATATCCCTGACGATATAGTGTTTTGTAACCCGCGGTCTTTGCTTATAATAGTTTATTTCACTCATATGTGTGGGGCTGGACCAGTTGGTCTCGCCTTTCTTTTCGGCGATTTTGAGTTCTATTAATATAATTAGGGGTTTATTTACGACAATATTACTCTGTCACCAACAGTTGGTATTACAACATATACATACATGCCATTTATGACGCTAAATAGCTTTGTAATTTCGAAATGTCTTATCTGTTTATTATCCGGTTTCTTCGGTGGTCTCTAGTCATTTTTCTGTAATATTCATTCCTGTTTGCATCGGGTTTGAGTCTATTGATTGACATTCGGTTAACTTTTTGAGGATGTATTTTGAAAAATGTCGGTATCTTTATACTGAATCTTATGCGAAATTTTCGTTTTGACAGGTTGATCCGAAAGAAAGCTCTAACAGTATTAGTGTTCTCGACCATATGTTTGTCTGCCTACATTTTGAAAGGTCGAAACTATAAGGGTCATGACCCGACCGTGGTGATTTGGGATAAGCCGAAGATTTCACAAGACCAAGAGAACATAGAAGTTCATTACTATAATAAACCCCCGTCAGTTTCTCTACAGGCATTCAGTAGGTGTCCGGATCGCTGTAGCATGACTTTCGGCGAGAAGGAGTATATCAATAAGAAAATAGTAATTTTTCATGGACCAGATTTGCGTGGAAAACCACCAATGAAATATCGAGGACAACTTTGGATCATGCAATCTATGGAGCCACCAACACTTTATAAAGACAATTTAAAGCAATGGCATCGAGTATTTAATTGGACTCTCGTACACAGAAGAGATTCAGATATATTCTCACCCTACGGATCGTTCGCACCAATCCGATCAGTTCCAGTCAATGATATCCAACCAATTGCCTGGACTAAAAAAGATAAGACAGCAGCTTGGTTTGTATCCAACTGTAAAGCACAAAGCAGAAGACTAGATTACGTCCAATACCTACAACGATACGTCGACATTCATATTTATGGGAAATGTGGCAATATGAGTTGTCCCCGTTCTATACACAACAACTGTCTGACTAAACTACAGGATCAGTTCAAATTTTATTTGGCTTTTGAAAACAGTCTGTGCGCAGATTACATTACGGAGAAAACAACTCGAATTTTACAAGAAGGCCTTGACGTCATACCGATCGTCAGGGGAACAGGTGAATTGTACAGGATGCACCTTCCTCCGAACTCTTTTATCAATGCACATGACTATACCGTTAAAGGATTGGCACAAAAAATGAAATCCATCTCCAATAGCAAACAAGAATTCATGAAATATTTTGCCTGGAGGAAACATTATTACGCTGAAGAAATAGATTTATTCTATTGTGAACTTTGCAAGAAATTACACAACGCTGACAAATACAAGCGCTTGTATCGATCAATTAGTGATTGGGTAAATGACCATCCAGATCATCCCAACTGCCGAGAACCTATCGATGTTCCTGGCAAATTTGTATCCACTTCAAATGAAAAGGGACATACTTCATTAGAAGTGGTTGTTGTTGGCCTCATTTTGTGCAATCTCTTCCGTCCAATATGACTTTTGTACAATGCTGTTTAGTAAAGAAGTTTGGGGGAACATAAAACATTATTATTATTACATTCTTAACAGCAAATCAACTTATAAAACGTCATTAGAGCCATCAAACGGTAAAACACACAGCGATCAAAATAGAAATAACATTAAACAAACCAAAAGGAAAAAGACAAATATCAAAAATCTTAAATTGGTATGTTAACACAAAAGATTAAAATGGTACGTCATAGTCTATTATATAGACCAACATCTTTCAAGTAATATAAAATTTTACAAATGTCGACAGTTTCAAAAATTTTAGACATGAAATGTTACGATAAATACATTCTCGAGTAGACAGAAGGTCACTACAGTCCAATAAAAAATGTTTAACGATGAATGGCTCATCACATCCTATGCACAAAGATTATTTTCGCCTTTCAACATATATGAATGTGTAAGGTATGTATGTCCCATCCGAAGACGGGCAAGAACAACTTCGTCTTGGTGGTTGTCTCTATAGCCTGGAGACCATTCACCGATAACAGGTTTAACAGAGTGCAATTTGTTATTGGTATATGTATTCCATGCCTCCTGCCACTGAGCTTTTAAAAATCAGAGGTTGACATTAACATTTTGAAGGCAGTAGCCGGAAGGGCTACCAATTACTTGAAAAGAGGAGTAACAGCACAGACTTTTTTTTATTGAAACACCTGATGCCACTGTATTTGAACATATAATTAAATAATTTCATAATTCCATCTAATGACTATGATACTGCAAGTATAATACTATTCAAATGAATAAATGTTAGAAAAGAACAAATTAGTAATATTAGTAATTCACCAATGTTATTTTTTTAAAATCAGTATCTTCCTTTTTACTAAATCAGTTTGACCAACTTTTTAAAAAAAAATATTTCTAATCTTGTGTCTTCTTCAAATCACCAAGAATAACAAGAATTGTACCTTCAGTTCATCTTTATAGAAAGGTCTTCGTGCTCGCTGCCCACACGAAAACCAGTGCTGGATAACTGCACGGGGATCGAAGCTTCTAACTTCAGGTGTTTTAAGGGTCACAATAGTCAAGTCACTTAGGTTTTCCTCCCCCAACCTAGACCTCCAGTCATTCTTGACAATTTTCATGCTGTAATGGAACATGATCATTAATCTAAAAAAAGTTGATTTAATCAAATTTCTGACATACGATAGATGAATAGAATTGATTGAATAAGGAATATGATTACTTCATTTTTAATCAGTTATTTCTAGATGCATTGCAGCTTCACATTTAATTTGAATTTGCCGATGTAAGAGGCAAAATATTATGATTACTAATTATTATATATAATTATTGTAGAATTTTTTATCAAAGTTTAGATAATGATTCATGGAGTGTATGATATGCCATAACAGGTCTGAAAGCTATTAACATGTATATATACAACTGCAGCACACAATCATATCAACGTGTATCATTTCTAAAAATGATTCTTTTCACAAGTTACCTTGTTTTGTATTTATCAATAATGATTATTTTATGGTATACATCTGATATTGTACTGTCTTTTTGCTGGATTGCCTGTGACAAATAGCTAAAGGTTTGAACCACATTATCAGGTGGAACCAGAAGATAATGGTTTCATCCTTCAACAGTTTAAGAAAGTTCCGTGTCTTGTTGCTAGATTCCTTGGATTGATTCTGTTGCATTTGCAATGTACATACTAATTACAACTGTTACCAGGTCACGATCTTCTCATGTATCTTACAGGAACTGATACAACCATATGCACTAGTACTCTAGTGTATATATTTTTAAATATTGTTGATATTAACCTGCTCAAGATGAAGGATTATGCTTCCTAACCCCTCCTTCAGGTTCATCAGGGCTCGTTTTGTGTGGGGTAACCATCTGGTTCCTACTGTGCGTGATGGTACAAAGACTTTTTCCCAATTGTATCCGCTGCCAATTTTAAATTAGCTCTGTTAAATGGGCTGTACCTGCAGTAAAAAGTATAACATGTCAGAATGGGCAATTTTCAAACTGGACATACGATTAAGAGTATTTACAAAATGTACATGTAGCTTAAAGTTCAATTGTGAACTACTACATGGTATTGTTCAACGCTAATCAGTAATATTTTGGATACTGGATACCTTGATTGAGTGGAGTTTTACTTCTGAGAAACAATTGTAGAATAAAGTGAGAAATGAAATGAATGATTTATTTGTTAGATTATTAGCCTATGCTTATCTAGATGATTTGGATATTTTCACTGCATGACGTGTATTTGGAATTTGTCTTTATCTTACACTAACACTACAGTGTAACTGTTACATCAATTACAAACATGTACTTAAAAATTGAATTACTTACTTGTAGAATAAATACATATTTGTTAGCAGCAGTTCTCACTTCTAGTGTATAGGTATGCTTTTAGTTGCATCTTGTAGGCAAGTTCCAACCTGAAATTATAAAAATTGAAAAAAATAATTCATGCATTGGCACATCATGTTACAGAGATCAATTTCATTATATATAGTATAGGTCACAATATTCATTATTTCCTCCTACATGATGTATAAGTATTACTTAGTGAATATCCACATCACTTACATTGATTGACGCTTTCATGCATGGTACCTGTGTGCAGAGCAGTGAATGGCCTTCATAAAAGGCGTATTGGTTTCCTCTGCCATTTTTTTTTATCAACCCCGCTCTTCTTGCAAAGCATTACGGATGCTCCATGTTTCCATGGCAATAACTTTTCCCCTCCAACTATGGCCATGGTTATGTGTGATGCATCAACTTTCCCGACATGTTTAAGACCAACAAGCAAAGTTGAGACCTTTGGAAGACAGATGATATCATTTATTCAGAAAAAATACTCTACAAATAGGTTAACATGAAATTGAGATTTAAAAATAAAATCAGATATCCATTTATTGTACATGCTGAACAATAAAAATAGGTCTATATTTTATTTGATCAAAACATTTGCATTGAGAACTGAAGTGTCTGTGGTAGGAATTTTAAAGCAGTATTATGCAATGTTATGAAAGTTTCACAGTGACACTGGCAAGTTTAAAGTTACAATTCTTTATTTGAATGAGGAAAAAAAAGAAATTATTTTTCTGTGTTTGAGCATTCGATTAAGACATCTGAGCAGTTTCTTCGGGTTAAATTTTGAGCATACCTTGCACTTCAGGGATAACCATATATACACTATTTCAGTGTCCTTGGAAGCAGTATCAGTGGAACCATCCGAGATAATGCTAAGAAATGGCGATGATTATATGTTTTTTTGGGGTTTTTTTTGCACTTTACATGCATCAGCTATTGTAGCAATGGATATATGGTCAAGCGAAGGAGAGCGGTGTTTCTCGTTTTTACAATATCTGCATTTATAGGACATATTTTGCTTAAAGTATCGGTGTCGTTCATTTACAAGGGCCCAAGAAATACGAACTTCATTTACATTCTTGATTATTTTCGTGTTTTGTGGCAAAATCAGACATTTTGCATATGAGTGTTGTTACATTGTGTGTATACCTGTATTCTAGATATAGCCTGCCCAACCGCTACGTACATACTGTACATACTATGGCCTCTCACTCAGGTACGTGCAAGGTTAACTCTATCGATACTTCATCTATAACTTCCCAAGAAGCTATGTTTTTCAGCAACCCGTTAAGGACATCAGCTGACACTTTAAATTCCAAGAGACTTTTAGCAGTCTAATCTCTCCCACCGATCAGTCAGGAAATAAAAGACCCCCCCACGTCCGTAACCACACCTGATCATACAAACTTTTATCAACCCGATACAACCACGTCTATTATTTTCTCGCCTGATTTTCTCAACAAATTCGCAGAAACCCTTTTCCCCTACCCTCGCGACAATGGTTTCAAACCTCTTAATTGACTCGATGAAGCCAGCCATTGACACCGCGGTCGCTCAGGCCCTTTCTGACAGTTCTGTTCTCAATGCAGCAGTAAAAAGTAAAGTTGACGAGGCTTTGATTTCTCTACGTAATGTCATTCACAAACAAGACTCTCAAATTCGGTATCTGACTGAAACTGCTGATAAACTATTGGTCGAATGTGACGTTCAGCAGCAATGTTCAAGGTGGACTATTCTGAGATTCCACAATGTCCCCATATCAGGTCCTATTCGGGAGTTCGACACTAACCGGGCTATTCTCGATACATGTAAGGACATTGGGGTGTTTTTATCAGAGAGGGACCTTTCCAGAAGCCATACCCTCGGTAAGGTTAGAAACAACAAAGTTACTATACATGTTCGCTTCTTGAGGTGTACTGACAGCCAGAGGTTTATAAGGCCAAGTCGAATCTGAAGAAAAATAGGAGTTGAATATTCATAACGGAGAGCCTTACTCAGTACCGCCAGAGTATAGTCAATAGACTTAGTGAGCTATGGAAAGGCAAGTCTATACACTCCCACTGGACATTAGATGGCCAGTCTAGAGCGGAGTCACCTAAACATCTTATAACGTCTCATGCCTGTGTAGATCGTCTTTGTGACTCCATTACGCAATCTCAGTGACCCAATCCGTCTGGTCCGTCACCAAAGTCGCCCTCCCAGGCACCCAGACCACTAGAGTCCTTCAATTCCTCGAAGCACCGATTCGTCGCAAGCATCCCAACGTTCTGTATCATTCGTGCCATCTCAGCCTCTGGACCAGTCCCATGGAACATTGTCCCAGTGTGTAGGCCCGAGCCAATCGAGTAACGGTTACGCGATCGCGAGTGTATCAGCCAGCACACACATGTAGTGAGTGACCTTTAGGTCCACATGTGTTGCCACTTGTGTTGACATTTAATCCTGTTTTGACATTTAAGCAAAATCACACACTAACACTTTGATTTTTTTTTCAAACTATCAGTTACGCTTAATGTTATACATGATGTACCGGTTTGTATTTGTAAATCATCAATTGATAACGTACCGATGTTTGTTCAAATGTATGATACAATACATGTACGTTCGAGTGATAAGTTGGA